GCAAACCTCGGTTGGGACGGCCCCACGAAGTGGAAGACTCCACCGTTCTCGAAGCTGTCAAAGGGGATCCGCAGCTGCCACTGGCAGTCTTGCGACAAGACTCGGGTGTACCTAACTGACAGTCCTCAACCGCCTGTAAGCCTCGGCTATCGAAAAGTGCTGGCTCGATGGATCACTCATACCATGACGATGGCACGCTGTGCACCCGGGTACCCCTTGGTCAGTCTCCCCTTCTCCGCCCTCGTCAGAAGGAGTTTCTGGGAGACTGCTTAGTGGAGATGAGAGATGGGTCCTCTGTGACTTCAATCCACAAGTACAGTATGTGACTTCAATCCACAAGTACAGTACGTCTCACTAAAGGAGAAGACAAATCCTAGCAGTCCGAAGTGGGTATGCATTCTAGAAGGTTCTCCTGTGCTGCTTCCGGGACGCGAGGGAATGCTGCACAACGAGCTGCCCTGTAAGAACACACGGTCACCGCTACCATTTGTGCCGCTCAGCTCCAGAAACCCGTGGAAATTGTTGGGAAAAATGGTCGAGACCAGCTTCGTGCAACCTCTACGCGAGTCCTCAAACAGCTATGGAGACCCACCAAAACATTTAGAAAGGAAGGGTGGGAGACCATACGCTCAGCGCTCATATTGTGCTTTGCACATAGGCCCCTACGGACTGTTACCTGCTTCGGCCCGCCCGCTCCTCAAAGGTTTCTAGTTGAGAGAAAACTCAGCAAGTTTGATGACACCAGTCGAGAGAAGCAAGTTTGATGACACCAGTCGAGAGACCGCCGACTTCTACTCGCAACCTCTCCAGTTCTTGGAGAGAAATTCTTACGCGCGCCCACTTAGGTCTAGCACTGGGCATGTGGGGCAACCATGAAGAAGTTACGACTTGTTGATTAATATTGCATGTTAAGTTAGAAAATAAAAAATAAAACAATCCAAGACAGCGACAAGACTTTCTTTCCAACCTGTATGAACCAGACCCGAACCAAAGGTTTTGCATCTAATAAAGGTTTCCCTCTTGTTATTCCAGCGTCACATTCGCAAGGCAACCGCAACAGGGTTCCCGATTGCTACTCCCTGAAAGTCTGAGGCTTTGGTGCAAGCGCAATTTGAGCTTTTACCCATGAAATGATCATCATTGACTTGCAAGTCGAGTCATTTCTGTTCAGGCGACATCTGGGCTTTGGCCAACTTGTATTGTCCGTTTGAGAACATGCGGAAATTTTTTAGAGAGAGGGTCAGATTCATCTAATGGATTGCACATGAATGGGCAGGATTCTTTGGTGCAACCTTTGCTCACGGACTTTTATCAGGTCAGCTTCTGTACCGTTCCTATACAAAAAAGTCGCGTTTTGCGCAACATCGACTGTGACGGATGGGCGTCGGCTGCTGCGGTACTGCCGACTGCAAAGACATGGCATGGCTACGTTCAAGACACCGATATGAGGGGTGTATGAGACGCTATCGCGCCGCGTCCGCCGCCGCCGCCAGCTGGCTCGATGTGTCGGTGGTCCCTCCGGCCCAAACCATGGGCAGGAATGGGGATACAGGGCCGTGAAACATGCTAGGTGGTCCCTCCATGCTCGGCCCTCTTACAGCCAAAACGCTTCTTGCGGCGCAGATTCGCCGTCCTTGCATAACATCCGTTGGCAAGCGCGCGTGTCGGGCGCTGCAGGTCTTTGGCCACTGGTTGCCAAAGTCGCTTGCATTTAAAGTCGCAACAAAGCGATATAAACGCAATGATTCGCCTGTATGCGGATAGACATTGGAGGTGCTACAAAATAAGAACAGAAGATGATGACGAGGGCCAGATTTCAAGAGCAACTCGGCTGCATCCGCAGAATCCATCAGAGGCCGAGCGATCAAGGAATGAGAATAAAAAAGCATCCAAGCGTCGCCGAGCTTCGTGATTTACTTCTACGTACTTTCCTATGGCTGGTAGGGCGCCGCCGCGAGATAGTGTCGCGCCCGGGAGTCGTTAGGGAAATTTTACGCACCGGGATTTCAACTAATTTGGCCAGTTTATCTAATTTGCCTTTCCTTGATTTTTTCATTTTTGTTTTGTTTACATTTACATCGTTGTGCTTCATTTCTAGCCTGTGTCATCTTCATCTCCTTGTACATGGATTTTGAAGCATGAGCAACACCTAAAATTTTATTCGCATCAGGAAATTGCGTTTTGCTTGTATCAAACTAACGAGTATGCCGTTTTATTTTCATGTTTCGTGGAAATACGCGGCCTCCGAGGGATGTTGCAGAAGTGGCACAGTTGCTTTAAGTTCTGACCCTCGTCATCATCTTCTGTTCTTATTTTGCAGCACCTCCAATGTTATCCGCATCAGGAAATTGCGTTTTACTTGTATTTGAAAGCGCAATTAAAGGACTTGGCAAAGTGCCAAGGAGCCGCACGCGACACGCGCGCTTGCAACGGATGTTATGAAGGACGGGAATCTGCGCCGCAAAAGGTGTAAGGCGGAGCATGGAGGAATTAGCGTGTTTCACGGTCCTGTATCTCCATTCCTGGGCATGTTTGGGCGGGGGACCACGACACATCGACAGCTGGGGGGCTGATAGTCTCATACACCCTCAATGTGTGTGAGCGTACTATGTGTCTTTAACACGGCATAGGATGGCTTGATCGTGGGACATTTCAGTTTGGGAAAAGTGTCATCTTGTGTTGTGTTGGACCAAGACGTGGATACAGTTGTCCCGAAATGAAAATATCTCACCAAAACCGCATCCACCGTTCAGATGAGGTACGCAGACACGCCTACCGCATCGGAGGGATTCGGAGTTTCAAACAGCGTGCTCCACGATGCTCGGCATTAATGCCCTGTGCTCGCGCCTTGGTTTATGTTAGTGACCGTTGCATAGATTACTGTAGAATGCTCATTCCAAGAATAAATATGATTGCTATTGAATCATCAGTCACATTTTGAGATTACAATGTGCTATGCATACTGGTTAGCAGGTACGCATGATGAGCCGGCAGTCTTCGATCTCTTCTTCAGGTAAATGCATCAGTCTGTTAAGCTGTGCTTAACTATCCCTTACAACCTGATTTTAATCGCTCAAGGAGCGCACAAATTTTAGAGAGCTGTTGCTTAGTTTGCACTCCAAAAGTTATCACAAGGATGCTGAGTTAGCAAAATTCTTGACCTCAAGTGGGTATCACAAGGATGCTGAGTTGTGGGCAAAACTCTTGACTACAAGTGAGACTCGAACCGCACCTCACGCTTTCCGGGAGAGTA